TAAGGTGTGACAGACTTTTAGACAAAAAGTACAAAGTCTGGTAGTAGAAAAGTTAGCCATGAAATCATCACAGCGTCTTCTATTTCTCTCTCTCCCAAGTTTCAGTTCTTATACATTACAGGAGCAAAAGTATGATGATCATTTTTTTTAGGAGAAAAAATATAATATCCTCAAAGTGTACCATGGAGGTGCAACCTGTATACATGGAAGTAAGGCAATCATTATGCATTACTTATTTGGCATTTTAATGAACATAGTACAACTCCAGAAAAACTCCCTTTGTGCACCAGAGACATCATTCGAAATTTCAAGAGCATGATACAAGTTTATAAAATTGTTTTTCTAGGAATAGAAAAATCAGAAAAGCAGAAATCCGTGAAAAAATTACCTTTAGGACATTCATCTCGTCTCTTTCCCCATAATCAACTTCCAAGGAATTCCCAACATGATTTTCCGATGTTGTCCACCCATCTTTCTCCTTCCCATCTTTTGTGGGTGCAAAACCATGCACAAAACCATTCCCATTTTGCATTGAACTCCTGTTTTGACAGATTTCAAAAGGGAGTACATTGGCCGTCCTCACTAGCAAACTGAGGAAACATGAATGCGTTATAGGAAGAACAATTCAGTAATGGAGGGAGAAGGGCATTTGTCAGTGAACAATTAGTCAATAACTTTGGCAGTTTAACCAAAGAGACGGTTATCTTACCACTTAATACATCTAAACAGAATTAGTTAAATGAAGTTTAAGGCTAATCCACTGTCTGAGTCTAATTGCTACATGTTGAATGAAGCAGGTTAAACTACTTCACCAGAAAATGCTCAAACTTCAAGCCTAGAGCAAAACATTGACAAGAAAGAACCCTTTGCTTTTGTTAATGAAATAAAAAAAGATTTGCAAACCTCTGAAGAGATTCTGGTTATCTGGAATCAAGATATATTTCAATAAACCCCAGCTAAAAATATTCTAAAGCTTGATACTTTGTTCTGACTTTTTAAACCTAACTATCAGATACTAGAATTGAATTAGTCTCAGCTCAAACATGGACCTAAAATCAAATACAAGGAAATACCTTCTTTGATTATTTCGCCTTCTGTCCATACCAGGCTTGGCAGATTTCTTTGCCTCACCCACTAGAGCCTTGGAATTATAAACGTTGCCCAAAATAGATTCTACATTGTCACCCACAATATTCTGTGCAACACCATCTGATGGAAGCAAGACACCCTAGAAAACACCCATAAACCTGTCAGGCAGGTCTCTCAAGGACTGAACTGGTAAAAAATGATCCCAAAAACGGAAATAATCAGATAGAATGAGACACCTTGGCAACAACTTGAACTAGATCACCTGAGAGGATAACAAGTGTTTCTACCACAGTTCCACCTGTTACATTTGTATCACTCGTTCCCTTTTTAGTCAATTTTGCTTTCTTCAAAACAATACCTAAACAAAACAAAAATCTATTTCTTAAAAATGGAAATGAATCATGAGCAAAAGCACATTACTCCACACTTACTGATGCTCAGTTCTTCATAGAACTGCAGGAAACCTTTAAATAAAATTTCGACTTCCACGCATAATACTGTTCTAGTTTTCAAAAGGCAGCAAGTAAATTGATCTTAATAAATAAGTCTTTCCAAAAGCCAAGCAACCTTTTTGAAATTGCCTATCTCGCAAGAAATTTTTTTTTAAAAAATAAAAGCAGTCAATCAATCTGTAATTCATCTTTTTTCTCGGCAGCCAACCATATCAAATAACATCATCAGCAGAACCCAGATCAGGATCAGTCAAATCCAATCCAATCTCAATACTATTACCATAATTTCCACTCAAAAAAAAAAAAACAGATACACCTTCTCATTAAAGCCTAAACCCACGTATAAATCTGAAAAACAATCAAGACCCAGAAGCCGCTGCCCATCAATTCAAAAACATCTCTCAAAATTTTAAAACCCAAAAAGAAGGAGAAAACTCACCGTAATCCTTTTCCACACAAGCGGTGTAAAATATACCAGAATATACAGAACCATCCTTGACATGCACATCGACTGGCAAACCAATGATGCACATAGTAGCAAATAGTAAAGCTTCACTCAAAGAAGAAGAAGAAGGAGAGAGAGTGGTCTCTTCTTCTACTCTGTTCTTGTAAGCCATCTCGGTTGATCTTTTTCCCTTCTGCCGAGCAACCCTTTTCGTGTGATTTTTCTTCTCTTCTCCAGAAGATTCTTCGAAATCTCCCCTGTTCTAGAGGTGGGAAATGGTTGCAGAGCGTGGGAAAAGTAGAGAGAAGAAGAGATCTGAGAGGACGAAGATACGAGGTAATTGGAGATGTTCGTGTCCGTCTCGTCACTACCGCGCGGTGCCTCTTTTCTGTTGTAATACTAATTTGCATTCTCGTCCCTGTATTTTCCCCGGTTTTCGTTTTATCACCCTACTGTAATTTTTCATTTAATCTTAATTATAATTAACAAACTGATAAAAAATTATTAATGAATGAAAGCTATTTTACTTAATTATTTATTAACGGCTGAAATTTATTAATCTAATAATTACATGTATGTGGTTAAGAGAAAATTTGAAGGCAAACTTATTAAAATAAATTTAACATGGAATTATTATATCATTATCATCTATGATAATTACACTTTTTCAACAATTATAAGTACTTCTATTTTTTTTTTTAAAAGTTAAAAGTTAATTTCAAAATTTAATTATTTTACAATTATTGTTATTTTCGCAAGTTAGAGTTAATCTCAAGATACCAATAAAAATATAGCATAATAATTAAATTACTGTAATAAAAAATTAATGACTTATTTTACCCTTCTATTTTGTTATACAATAATATTCTAAAATAATAACTAATACATTTATATAATTATCGTGAGTATATTATAAATTAAAATTTAATAAATTTATTATATTTTTAAGTAAAAATAATATTAAAATTTTAATATAATTTTTTTATTAAAAAATTTATATAACCATTAATTGAGAAAATATTAGAAATATGTTTTTTATATAAAAAGTAAATTGAAATATATATTAAATATTTAAAAAAATCTCCATAAGATCTTTTAAAAACTTTATTATTATATTTATTTAATCCTAATCAAACAAACTATTAATAATATTTTTTTTGAGGAATATTTATAATAAAAATTTAATTAACTATATTTTTAATAATTATAATTGTTATGTTTTGATGAATTATAAAAAATTTATCTAATCACAGTTTGCTTTTACCTTCACTTTCAGTTTAAGACATTACAGAGCGACGGTTAAAAGTAAAACCCTACACATTATTAGACTTGCAAAGTCTCAGAGCATAAACCCTAGCTCTCTCCCGCTCTCCCTCTCTCTCTCTCTCTCTCTCTCTCTCTCTCTCTCTATTTGCTTTCAGGATGAGGAAACACAAGTCCAGGCAGGCACGCAAGCTAAACCGCCTAAGCGAAGTTGAAGAAATCAAGCTCCTGAACTCATGGATCGAATCACAAAAACCCGATTCAGGGTCCAATCCTCTTTCTCTCGATCCTCTGCCAAAGGATACGCCAATTGGACGCATTGTAGACGACGCAGGCGACACCAGTTTCTCACGATATGCTGGGGCAACGAAGTTCTATCAGTTGCCGCTCTCGAAGAATACCAAACAGGGCTTAAAGGAAGCCAAGTATGTGAAGATGACTGATATACAGAGGGCGTCTTTGCCGCATTCGCTTTGCGGGAGGGATATTCTAGGTGCAGCAAAAACAGGCTCTGGAAAAACTCTGGCTTTTATTATACCGGTGAGTTTCTCTTATTTTTTTTTCCGAGGAAGTTGGTTTGGGCGCCGGAAAAGGGGGTTATTGAAAATTTCCACTTTGGAGCTCAGATTCTTTGGGTTTTAATTGGGCGTCCGGGTGGTTTGGATTCTGATGCAATTTCGGTTTGAATGTGATGGGTGTCCAGGATTTTTGTATATATTATTGCTTGATTCAAATTCTGGATTAGTTAACTGGATTAATTAAGTTCAAGCATTAATTTCAAATTTCAAGGATTTTGGAGTTTGAAACTATGTTTGAAGCAATGAATTTCATAGGAAAACGTGGAGTTCGGTTGTGGTCTACATGTTTGCATTTTGAATTTTTCTAAACCATGAAATGGGTAAGTTCATCCTAAGTTCTGAAGTAGTAGAATTCAGAATTGAACTTGAGAGTCTATAGGAAAAAGCTTGAAATCGCTTTTTGCTTGTCTGTTTCTTTCCAAAATTATTCAATTGAATTTCTTTTCATAAAATATTTTGAAGTTTCACGATAATTTCAAGCATAAAAGTTCATATCCGGATGAATTTATTTTTCTAACAGATTTTAGTTGGAATTTTGGAAGGTACAAGAGAGAACAAATTAGGAAACAACAAATATAAGGACAATATTGAGCTTTGCATTTTTAAACTGCTTGTGTGGTGTTGGAGGAATAAGTTATTATAATTTATTGGATTAATTAGCATGACTAAGTGATTTTAAACACATAGAGAGTATTCTGTCAATCAGAGAAATTGCACTCTATTCTGCTAGCTTTTTTTCTCTTTTGAGGGTAGAGGTGTGGAATTCTCCAGAAAAGGTTTACATATGTTCTATGGTTTCAAAACTTTTGCCCAAGTACTGTTCAAGCATCAGAGAGACTAATGGATTTTATACTGCCAGAATGTCAGAAAGTGATTTAGGTGAAAATTAGTTCAAGTTTGAGCTGGGATGTGCAAGTTGGGAACGGATGGTGGCACTTGTTCATAACTAGTTCAAGAAAAGGTTCACTTGTGTTACTTGAACTCTTCTCAGAAATTGGACTTAAGCCAATGAAACCTGTGATTTTTAGTAGGATCTGATTCATGAGTCTATCTGATGTCATGACATAAAATTTCTAACAATTAATATAATATGCTAGTGGATAATATTATGTGGTTCTAGGAATTTATTCTTCTATTTTTTGATTATCTTTGGAGCAACTTCAAATGCTCTACTGGATTTTCTGTATGTCTTGACTTTTAGACTTAAGTTTTTCTTATATTTTGCTTATAAAAAGAATTTTCTTTTTGAGGGTGATGAGAGTAGTATGTAGAAAATAAAAAATAGGCGGATTCATTATTTTGAGTCTATTTTGTTAGGTCATGCCATGATTAGTGATGAGAATTTTGAAAATGTCATAGATACACTAATAATACTTTAAAGTTCTTGTAAATGGGCGGTACCCCTTTTTTGGTACCATGTTTATATATACTTCACTTTTTACTTCAAAACAAAAGAAAAATTTTCTTCTTTTCATTTATATTCCTATTATTCTTGATGTTATTGTGTACTTGAGTAGCATCCAACCTCAAGTTTAATGAAACTATCTAGAATTCTTTTGAAATATACATCAAGCTACAAAGAAAATTCACGATAACATCAAGATGCCATTAGTTGTTTTCTTGATTTGTCAATTTCTTTCTCTCTCCTGCTTTCTTAATATAGAAATAAACTCTGGCAATACTTTCTCTATACTGTCTGTGCTAGGTTTTGGAGAAGTTATACAAGGAGAGGTGGGGCCCTGAAGACGGGGTAGGAAGCATAATAATATCTCCCACAAGGGAATTAGCTGGCCAACTTTTTGATGTGCTGAAAGTTGTTGGAAAGCACCATAATTTTAGTGCTGGCCTCCTAATTGGTGGTCGGAAGGATGTTGACATGGAGAAAGAGCGTGTTAATGAGCTGAATGTCTTAGTTTGCACTCCTGGTCGGCTTCTTCAACACATGGATGAGACTCCAAATTTTGAATGTTCGCAGCTTCAGGTCAACATATGTTTTTTTTTAAAAGTTTATCTTGTTACTAAATTCATATCCTTCCCCTTATTAGAAACTTTATTTGAGCATTGCCAACTATTAGCTCCATATTGACACTTCCAGGGAAAAAAAAAGAAATCTCTTCTTGAATTCCTTCCTTATCCTCTGTTTGGAACTTACTGCTTATTTGGATCAAATTTCCTTGCCAGGGAACAGGTTTTGGTTCTAGATGAGGCAGATCGTATTCTTGATGTTGGGTTTAAGAAGGCTCTAAATGCAATTATTTCTCAGCTACCTAAATGTAGGCAGACCTTGCTTTTCTCTGCGACTCAAACAAAGTCAGTGCAGGATCTTGCCAGGCTCAGTTTGAAGGACCCAGAGTATCTTAGCGTGCATGAGGAGTCTGTAACTGCTACTCCAAATCGTTTGCAGCAAACTGCAATGATTGTTCCACTTGAGCAGAAGTTAGACATGTTATGGAGTTTCATCAAGGCACATCTTAATTCAAATATTCTCGTGTTTCTATCAAGCTGCAAACAGGTAAATTTGCTCTCCAAAAAATCTATTTTGGTTATGTAACAGAATATTTGGCTGAGGATAAGTGATTTCAGTTCAAACTTGTTAATTGTTCTAGACTTTGTAGTATTCATTGATTATTTAGGATAAGTTGAGAACTGGTAGGTAAATTAGTCTGCCGAGATATTGTAAGTTTAGCTCTCACATGAATTAGGTGCTATTTGTTTAACGTATGTTTTCTACTTCTTAGAAATATAGCTGGTATATTTGCTGCAGTGTATCTCATGTAGTTAAACTTTTGATTGAATAGAGAAATCATAGTATTTGTTTGAGCTGGTGCTTAACCTTTGCAGAAGCTCAGTAGAGAAGTCAAAATGGTTTTTGTTTTGTTTTCTTTTTTTTTTTTGAAATAAAAATAGTATAATATTGATATGAACAACGGTACCAAAGGACTCGTATACAAGATATTTACAAGTCACTTAATAGATCAATGACTTTTCCAAAATCATCTAGCATATTGATTTCATGACCCAGAACCATGGAACCAAAAACATGAATCCATATACCCCTAATATTCACAAACTCTCCTCAATTCCTTCAAATGCTCTGGCATTCCTCTCCTTCCAAACAACTCAAAAAATAGATACAGGAATTAGATGAAGATAAGTTTTTGTTCTAGTAAGAAAAAACATGAATGGTAGAAACAAGATGCCAAGAGGGGGGAGCCCATGTATGAAAGAATGGATTGCAAGATAGTCAGAATATCTACATTACACTGTATTCCTTTGGAGCAAGAGGGTAGTAACCCCTGGAAAAGATCTGAGTGTCTGAAACCAGTGCTTTGTAACTTTGGTTAGTAAAGGCAAAATAGTATGTAGCTTCCGCCCCGGTATTTCAAAAGCAATTGCAAATTTTAAGGACCTCTGAGGTAGCATATAATCATTTTGCAACTCATTCACAATGATTTGTAATCTTAGGAAGATGATATATGGTTCCAAACCCTTGATTTGTTATTAAGTCATCCTCCTCACTTGATGGGGGAGTTAGAGAACCTTATTGATATATTGATAGATATGTAAATTCCTTGTACATTGGTCTGACAGCCCCTTGCTGCCGTTATTAATATTATGCTTTACACTTTGTATTAAAAAAAAGTAATCTTAGGAAGAGAGTAAATTCTTTCCTACTTCTCGTTTTCTGAATAACGTAAAAAATAGACAAGGGAATGAAGCCCAGTGTTATGGTTGATGTTTGATACATCATCCAGTGAGGTTGTAATACTTTTGTATATAGGTTGCACCCTTTTGGTGCTCTGTTAATATATTCATACTTTTTATTTTAAAAAAAAGAAAGAAAAAAACATCATCCAGTGAGGCAGGGGTGTAGTTTTTTTTTTTAAATACGAGGCAGGGGTGTAGTTGTTGTTTTGTTACAATTCGTTACAACATTTGCCTTTGTTGGATTTATATTCTCTCTAAATTTGATTATGTTGGATTCATGCAACATTTCTTGTATCTAGGGAATTTGAATACATAGTCTTCAAGATTGAGTTTCCTTAAACTCTACATTTTTTTGCCTATTTATGCATGCATTAAACATAATCTAGGAATCAGAAACTGATGGGGAAACAATTTCTTTGACTTTTGTTGCTAACTAGGATCAGAAACTTGGAAGGATAATCTAAAGGGCCTCAAATTAAAATGTCTTTGACTTAGTTTGAATACTACGACTGCTTTGTGATTTGGATCTTAATTTACAAAGGTTGTGGATGTTTATGCTTATTGAAATTGTGGGATGTTCACAGTCCCTCATGACTTTCTTAAATATGTTTTGCAAAACATACAAAATTAGTTGAGAATGGAATGGAGATTCCTTTACCATTACATTTGATAATTGTGATGAAATCATACTGCTTTGCGATTTTTCTGAATGGGATTGCATTTTTCTGGGATTGCTTAACTATAGTAGAAGTATTGTATAGGAACTTTGTATGTATGTGCAAATGCAGGATAGATATTTGATGTTTATGGCTGGTCAAAGCCATTTCAAATGCAGAATGCTTGGATGGACACTATCTTAAGCTGGTTGTGATTTGCTCTCCAAGATTGCACCTTCTGGTTAGAGAACGTAAATCAGGATGCATACTTAATTACGTTCAATTTTTTTGAGATGACACCTTCCTCCTAAGATCATGCTAAAAGCAGCTGAAGTATTTATCAGCACTACAGTTGATAAATAGCCAACTAGCTGTGATCCATTGGAGGTGCCTTGTAAACTAGTTTTTGGAATTGGACATTTTGTTTCTGGCGTAATAATCTTGATTGACTTGGCTGGCTTTTGACTGATTTAGAGATAGCTTCAATTAATGGTTTCTGCTTTTGATCTAGTCATTATTTTTTCCTCATTCATCACTCTAATTGAATATTTGGTTTAACATTTTGGGTTTGCCTTTACCCTTGTGATTATTATTGTTGATGGCAAAGTTAACAAAGAATCTGCAATTGATAGGTAAGATTTGTTTATGACGCATTCAAGAAATTGCGTCCTGGGATACCTTTGAAATGTCTCCATGGAAAGATGAAGCACGAGAAGAGGATGGGAATATATTCCCAGTTCTGTGAGAAGCGATCAGTTCTCTTTTCAACTGATGTGGCCTCACGAGGCCTCGATTTTAATAAGACAGTTGACTGGGTTGTCCAGGTAATATATAGTTTCAAGAAGGAAACTTCGGTTTCCAAAATAGTTTAGAATGAAGGGAGCTACTTTCTTTATGAGTTGGCTTTTAATTCTTTGCTTATGATGTTGTTAGATGGATTGCCCAGAAGATGTTGCATCCTACATACATCGAGTTGGACGTACAGCTCGTTATACTTCCGGAGGGAGGTCTGTTTTATTTCTCATGCCTTCAGAAATGAAAATGCTTGAAAAGTTACAAGGAGCAAAGATACCCATACAATTCATCAAGGTAGATTTTCTCAATTCTGGAACATTTAGATAGTTTAGCTATACGATTGATTTTAAGCATAGTTCTTACATAGTGGATTGTGATTATATGTGTTAGTTTATTTGTCCGTCATGTGTGTAACTGTTCATAAGTTAACCTTATTATAATTGTTGATTTGTCAGGCAAACACGAAAAGACTGCAACCAGTTTCTGGACTGTTGTCAGCTTTGCTAGTCAAATATCCAGATATGCAGGCTCTGGCTCAAAGGGCCTTTATCACATATTTGCGGTCTATTCATATTCACAAAGACAAAGAAATCTTTGATGTAATGAAACTGCCTGTTGATGAGTTTTCAGCATCGCTGGGCCTTCCAATGACACCCAGAATCAGGTTTTTGAACCAAAAAACTCAGAGCAAAATAAAATCCGATACAGTCGCTGTTGTCGAACCACAAAATGTTAGGATGACACATGTTCCAAGAGAGGAGCTACTTGTAGATGATTTGGACGAAGAGCAAGTGGACAAAGATATTCTTCTTAAAAAGGATGCTCAAACTGAAGTGGAGAAAGCAAGGGAGGTTGATGATACGACCATGTATGTACCTTCTGCTGGAGGAACTTAATATCTGGTTTCTAGAAAAAAGTTACTTATGGTTATTAGGAGAAACTTTTCTTGGAGATCTGTCTTCCATTGGTAGGAAGACGTGGTCAAACAATACCTGATTGATTGAAGATCCATATTTCACTTTTGCTATTATATTTGCTGATATAGTTCAAATTTTGGATTTTGTTCTTCAGGCCGGCAACTCGGATTCTGAAGAAAAAAAAGTTGAAGATCAATGTTCATAGACCATTGGGAACCAGGGTTGTCTTCGACGAGGAGGGTAACTCAATGCCACCCCTTGCAAGGGTGGCTGACACAAATCACTCGAACATTCTTTTTGATCAAGGTATGTAGAAGGGTAGATTTTTGCTACTCATTTTTCCTAACTATTTACCCCAAAAATGATATTTTGCTCCATCAGAAACTCTTCTTTGTGAGGGTGAACAGCATCATAATCTATCTGTTACTGTATATATAATTTGTTAGAATACTTAGATTTGTGTTCTTTGCCTCTTCATTTCTTCTTTAATTACGGGAATGACGCTTGCAACTATGAACACTTTGTTAAACATTATGGTTATCTGACATATAAATATCTCGTGAACCGACAGCATCTACTTTTTCGTGGAATGCTAGCATCTGATATTGTTTCCTTTGCAGACAAGAAAGACGAGTACTACAGGAAGATGAGGGAAGAATTGAAGCTAGTGGACAAGGAGGACAAGCTTCTAGATCGACAGCGACGTAGAGAAAAACGAGTTAAGGAGAAGATCAAATGGAAGAAATCTAATATGGAGGAAGAAGATGATGGAGAGGAGAGCGGGTCAGAAGGAGAAATTGAAGGAGGAAGGAAACATAAAAGATCCAAGATATACTTTGATAGTGATAGTGATAGTGATTATGGTGAAAGAGAAGAAAATAAGGACACTAAGGGAATCAATGGAGATTCCATTACCATTGCAGAACAAGAAGAACTAGCTCTTAAATTATTAAGTTCAATGCATTCATAAAAGCTATTTTTTCCCCTTTTCCTGCATGGATGGTTACAACTAGTGGTTTGTATGGAAATAAATTTTTTTGCATGTGAGCTATTACTTCTTTTCTTGTCATTTAGTTTTACTGCCCTCTCGAATTTCACTTGATCATTTTGGAATCTGCTGATAGCCAAATTTAAATTAGGAATTTTGAACAGTTTCATAGTTGATCTGAGAACTGTGTTTTTTTTTTTTTTCCTGAAAAATGTTTCTGTGATAATTTTTTAGAATTACATAAAGTTTACATAGAGTTACTGAATTATTATGAGATATGATTACATAGTAGGCGTCATAGCAGAGTCTGTTCTATTAATACTAAAGAATAAGCATGATATGTGAAGAGAAATCTATGGGAAGGGTTGTATGGAACTTGGTCTCGTAGTAGAATTGAAATCATAATAAGTCATTGTTTCTTTTATCATTTTA